CCTCCGAGACACACTGCCCTCGCCTTAGTGCTTCTCAGAGCAGCCTCTCTGGAGGATTCTGGGTCCCAGGGGAGGCCCATCTTAGGGATAGAACGTGCAGAGGCTGTGAGAGCCGAGAGCCCAGAACATGTCTCAACTCTGCTTCTCACCCCAGGCCTGGATGAGAGGGCAGGAGTCTTAAATACTAGAGGTCTATGACCTCTTTCTCCATTTGTCCCACATTTACTGCTGGAGAACAGAACAAATGGAACTTCAGCTTTCAGTATTTTGAGTATTTCTAGAAGTTGCGTGTGTGTGTGTGTACGTGTGTGCGTTTGAATGAATTCAGTAATGTCTTCAGCTACTGTAACTATCACCAGCTTCTTTCTCCTTAGGGTAACAGCTCACGTGTGTGTCTACTTCAAGCACCAGGGATGGATTCTCATGGATGTCCAGGACAATCCTGACAAGCCCATCCCAAGAGGCCACTCTGAGGCCACAGCATCTGCCCACTGCCTCTTCACGACAGATTCATTTACAATGGTCACTTAACCTACCATGGCATAGTGCCTGGTGGTTCTCCCAGGCCCTGTGTCACCCAGGGCCCTGCTGGGTTGAGAACTCACACTTTGGTTGAACATGTCCGTCTCGTGCCGCAGCTGTGTGTACTGGCACAGATGTTGCCGGATCATCTCCACCCTCTCCACCTCCAGTCGCTCCAGCTCCTGTGGAGGAAGCAAAGACCAGAGACCTTTGGGCATGTCCCTTCCATTTGGGGATCTTCCCACCAAGTGGACCCCAGACCACAGAACACAAGCCACTGGCTGTGTCTACACAGCCCCATCTGACCCTCTGGGGTCTCGTAAAGAATGTGGTCAGTATCTAGGTTTTGCCCTCTGAGATCCTGCCTTCCCAGGCACGGTGCTAAGGGCTTTATATGCATTACTTGACTCTCCTCATTCTAACTTTGAGAGACAGTAATTATTGCCAGTCACCATGCAAGGGAACTAACAGCTGGAGAGGTAACATCACTTGCCCAGACACAGAATTATGGGAGGAGCAGAATTTAAACCAGAGTCCACTGGGCCCTTACTCATGACTCTGCACCACTGCAGCCCCAGCCCCAGGACCCTGATGGGGTGGAACAAGTGGACACGTGTGGGAGTTTCCATGCTGCATACTCTCGGGACTTTGTCTTTGGGCCTCTGATGAGCATCCTCCTCTCGTCTGCCCATCTCTGGTGCTGAGGGACGAAGCAGAGACCAGGCCGGGGGAAGCAGAGAAGACTGGGAGTAGATAAGTCATTATCAAAGGGGAGAGTGGAAAGGATTTGTCCTTTGGTTTCTAGATGGTTCTGTATCTTTGGAATTTAGGGGATCAGGCTGTTGTTCTGTGTACAACTAGGTCACTGCCCAGGTGATTAACTGGAAAGGTGGGGGGGGCAAGCAGGGGACTTAATTAGGAGATTAACCAGAAGGAAAACTAGGTCACTGTCCTTGGTGGAGGCCTCTAAGCTGCTCTGGTGGGCTGAGACTGGGTAAGACAGCTGGTTAGTCCTGTGTTGGATGGACAGGGGGTGGCTCTGGGCAGTGGGATGACCCAATGAACACCTGGTATGATGTCTCCTGTCCCATTTGGCCCAGTGGTCCAAGCGCCAACCACACTTCTCTGTCCCACTCAGGTGGGTGTTTACTGACAAAGAGATGCTGCTCCTTTACATGAGATACTCAGGAGAGCATCATGGACTCTGCTGCCTGTTTCCCGCACCCTTGGTCAGAAGTCTCCCCCTGCACAGCTCCCCAACCCCACCCATTCATCCATTTTGTAAGAATATCTTATTAAGGACCTGCCACTCTTCTGCGTGTAGTGGTGGTGGTGGAGGCTCTTCCTACAGCTTGGCTATTTGTCTTAAAGGGGCCTCTGTACCCTCGGTTGGAGTCCTTGGTTGACCCTGCCTCTCAGGGGACAGTCCAAGGAGGATATAGCCATACCTGGCCCACATAGCTAGGAAGCACTCTAGCAGAGACTTGAATCTGCATAGATTGGCCCCATGAGGTCTTGAGCCCAACACTGGAGCAGATCTAATGCCCATCTCTAGGGTCACTCCACTTCATCACTCCAAATTGCCCACCACTGTCCACTCGGGGCTTCTTCTGCACCAGTGCTTACACTACCATGCCCACACATCCCTGACCACTTACCAATGTGGTAGTCACCATCTCTTCAAACCACTTGGATTGGGCCTGGTTGTAGAGGTCCACACAGCGCATGAGGTCGTCTCCTGGAAAAGAACAACAGTCACCACACTCCATCCTGTCCCTGCCATGGCTCCCTCCCCAACCTGTGCCCCACAGCCAAGCCCTCTCCTCTTCCTGGGGCTATGGTGGCCACTGGAAAGTTGGGGGATGGCAGGAAGGAGGAGAAAGCAGAACAAAGGAAGAGAGGAGGGCAGGCAAGCACCATGGGAGACCAGCTTCAGTGCTTCCACCTGAAATTGACCCCCTAGACACCAAGAATTCAGGACGAGGGTTCTCAATGTGTGTGTGGTGGGGCTGAGGTGGGGGGGGGCGGGTATTCCTAGGATCCCTAATTCTAACATGAGCCCAAGAAATGCTTCCCTCTCTAAATATGGCAGTTTTATTTTACATTGCAGAGTCCAGATTGGTTAAAACATATGTCACATGCAATTTGGTACTAATGAGAATTAAGGAAGAGAGATTTGCAAATCATATCCTTGTGTGTGTGCATGCACGCACGTGTACACATAACAGAGTGTCATTCTGAAACACAAAATAATATGTCTGATGGTTTATGGTTCATTCATTGTGCAGTCACAGTCTAAACACACACTGCAGTGATGCACACCAGCCTCAGCCTCAGGAAAAAAGGGTGAGTAGGTAGGAATTAGCACCTTCTACAGTCTTTTATTTCATCAGAGAAAGACTGAGGCAAGTATAATTATTAAATCTTTATAGTATTGTATAAATACTATAAATGATAGTATAAATACTATAAATAGTAGTGTATTATTTTGTTATATGTATATTACATTACATTTTTAAATTAGAAAACAAACTGCAAAGTAATTACAAACTTTGCTAAGCATACCAGCACCACAGAACTTCCCTACACAGATCCCAGTCTTTGAATCAGGAGTTCCAGAAACCCAGGACAGACCTGGGACCTACTGAATCAGAAACTGCATTCTCACAACATTCCGGTGATGCATGTGCACATTACAGCTGAAGAAGCATCACTCTCATGCATGGCTTCATCTCACTGTGGCTTCCTGGTCAACACAGGGCTCTAGTCTTTGCTCATGATGGGAAAAAGCTCATAAGTAAACCCAAAAGTGAATTGAGTTACAATAGTAAGTCTAGAGTAAAACTTAGTAATTCTAGAAGTAGAATTCTAGAGGAGAGCCTGGTAACTTGAACAGATTAAAAGCAAGCCGGGAGCAGTGGCTCATGCCTGCAATCCTAGCACTTTGGGAGGCAGAGGGAAGAGGATTGCCTGAGCCCACGGGTTTGAGACCAGCCTGGGCAACATGGTGAGACCTCATCACTACAATAAATAAAAAAAATTAGCCGGGCTCGGTGGCTCAGCCTGTAATCCCGCGCCTTTGGGAGGCTGAGGTGAGTGGATTGCCTGAGCCCGCGGGTTCGAGACCCGCCTGGGCAGCGAGACCTCATCTCTACAATAAATCAAAAAATCAGCCGGGCGTGGGAGCGCATGCCTGTAATTCCAGCTACTTGGAAGGCTGAGGCGGAAGGATCGCCGGAGCCCAGCAGGCGAGGCTGCGGTGGCCGGGAGCGGCCACTGCACTCCAGTCTGGGCGACAGAGTGAGACTCCGACTCAAAAAAAAAAAAAAAATTAGCTGGGTGTGGTGACGCATGCCTGTAATTTCAGCTACTTGGAAGGCTGAGGCAGAAGGATCGCCTGAACCCAGCAGGCCAAGGTTGCACTGGCCATGAGCATGCCACTGTACTCCAGCCTGGGTGACAGAGTGAGACTCCAACTCAAAAAAAAAAAAAAAATGACTCCTGTAGCAACCTCATAGTTGCTCATGTATATTCTGATAGGAGAGTGAAAGACAACAGGAGAGTTATGCCCACATACCCAAAGCTCAGCCTCCCTCTCCCCCAACCCTGTGAACCACACCGCCAGTGGCATCACAACCAGGGACATAAGGCTGCACACCACAAGTGCTGAGCTTTGAGTCACAGAGCCCAGACAAGGGGTTTGTTCATTTTGTTCTTGGTCCAAGGCCAGTGACTGGACCCTTGATCTTAAGAAGGAAGCATGGATACATTGGCCAAGTTGAAATCATTGATGATAACAGAGCTGGAAAATTGCTGTGAACCTCACAGGTTCTAGAAAAGTGGCAGAATAATCTGCTTCCCTCCCACCAGTTTGGTTTCATTGTACTAACAACCTCAGCTGGCATCATGGACCACAAAGAAGCAAGATGGAAACACACAGGAGGGAAAATCCTGGGATTCTTTTTCTAGGGATGCAATTTGTATATGTACAAATAAAATATCTCAGTGGACCAAAAAAAGAAAAGAAAAGACAGTGGACACCACATTGCACATGGGTTTCCACCAAGAGCTCCTGTCCAACCAAGGATGAGGTCAGTGTGTCATCCTATGAATGTGCAATATGAAACTCCCAGAACCCTAGTTGTCCATCCTGACTCTGAGAAGTTGCTTCAGAAACTTCTGCATAAGGAAACAGAGTAGGTGAAGCGGCGTGTCTTCTCTCTGGCAATCTAAGGGCTTGAAACTGGACCCTTCTGAACAGCACCAGTTAAGAACATGGCATCTGGGACCAGAATGCCTGGGTTGCAATCCTAATTCCACTATTTACTAGCTGCGTGATCCTCAGCTTCTTCATCTGTAAATGGGGATAATAATTATGCCTTCCCCAAGTTGTTAAGGATAAATACGTCAATATATGCAAACTGCTTAGAATGCAGACTGACACAGAGAGTCAATTATTAATATAAGCTGTGGTAACAATAAGGATGATGATGATGATGACCCCCGGAGGATCCAGATGCCCTTCCTTCCAGCTACCTTGGAAAAGAGTAAGAGGGAAAAAAGGGAAGGGGAAGAAAGAACAGGTGGCATTTTCCTGAGCAATAAGCTCTCCGGCAAAATGACAGCAAGCAGTGTTTGGAATAAGAGGAGACAGGATCCTGGCTTTGCTGCTCCACCACAAAGGACGCTAGGAGTTTCTCATCCTCTTGGTCACCCATTTTCTCACTTAGAAAAGGGTATAAAAATACTTCCCCATGAGGGAATTGTTCAGATCACAAGAGATGATGCCCTAAAGCATGTAGCCGAGTGCTTGGCACACAGTAAGTGCTCACAGGAGATGGTATTTTCTACAGCTAGGGTGAAGGACTAGCCACTTTCATCACAAAATAACTCCACACTAGAGGAATATGAGACCATATCATCTAACAACAATGCAATAAAACTAGAAAAAACAGCACGATTAGAAAATAACAATAGCAAAGTCCTTGCTCAAAAAAATGTTAAGATTTCCTGTGAAACAACTCAAGGATGAAATCAAAACTCAAATAGCAAAATATCTTGGAAATAGCAGAAATGAAAATGCCATAAGTAAAGACCTGCTGAATATGATTAGACCACTGGTGTAAGAACCTGATGAATATGGTTGGACCACTGGTGTAAGGAAAAATAAATATCCAGAATTAAACATTTCACTGTTTAGAAAACAAAAAGAAATACCTAAAACCAAAAAGTAAGGGGGAAAAAACCCCAGGTGAATAAAACAAACAAACAAAATATCGGAAAGGGGATAGTCTTTTCCTTTTCTATCTTTTTTTCTTTTTTTTTGAGTGGGGTCTCACTCTGTCACCCAGACTGGAGTGCAGTGGCATGACCATGGCTCACCACAGCCTCAAACTCCAGGGCTCAAGTGATCCTTACTCCTCAGTCTCTGAGCAGCTGGGACTACAGGTGCACGCTACCACACCCAGCTAATTTAAAAATGGTTTTTGTAGAGATGGGGTCTTGCTATGTCGCCCAGGCTGGTCTTGAACTCCTGGGCTCAAGTAATCTTCCCATCTCTGCCTCCCAAAGTGTTGGGAGTACAGGCGTGAGCCACTGTGCCTGGTTGGCTGGACTGACTTTCTAAGTCCATCCCCAAACCTAGACTCCACAAGGGAAAAGACCATGATACAAAAAAATTAGAATCAGCAAAACCCAACAAAACAAGCATAAATAATTTCAAATCACAAAACTAAAAGGTAAATGACAACCTAGGAAAAAGATTTGCAACTGAAATAATGAAGGGTTAATTTCCTTAATATATAAAGAATCTATGATCAGCCTCCTAACAAAAAACTGAGGAGAGGATATGAGCAGAAAAAAAGTGAAAAATTACTTATAAATGTATTTTTAAAATATACTTCATGTTTATGAAGGCATGCAAATTAAAAACAAAATATTATTTGTCACCAGACTCTGATGATTTCGTATCTTGGATAACACACAATGCCAGTACACATTTAGGGAACAGGCATTCATAGATGCTACTGGTGGGTACTCTCCCTGGAAAATAATTTGAAAACATCCATCAAGATGAATAAAACCTTTTGACCCAGCACCTATATTCTCTCTATATGTAGATCTGGATCTGTGTGCAAAACGTAACAGGTGATACCACAGAACTGCTGGCAGGGGCAGATACTTTTAAACAACCTAAAAGTTCTGAAAATCAATTAGGGGAATGATGAAATAAATTTAAGTACGACCAAACAACTGGACACTGATCAACCATCCAAAAGTTTGATGTGCATGAATGGATGAGTAAATAAATTTATAGGTAATAAGCTATTTCAAAGGCATATTACCTAAAAAATAAGCTCAGGAGATAAGCTATAGGATTCAATTTATGTCACTTTAAATATAAGTAAGTAGTATTTTAACAATTAAAGCACTAGGAAATAATGGTGACTCTTTCTGGTGAGTAGCAATTTATATTCTTGTGTACTGATTAGAATATTTTGCCACATACCAATATTGTTCTTGCAATAGAATTTACTTGTAAATAATTTAATACATTAAATTAATTTAAATATACCCCTTCCCTGTCTAGGTTCCCCTTCCTTCTCCCAATAAATATATGCTTTCTACTTCTGAATTCAATAATGTACTTATTTATTTTATTGCTATTACTGTTTTTTCTCCCTTGACCATTCAGCAAAATATTTATTCATTCAGAGTCAGGAGTCTCACTCTGGCTCCCAGGCTGGAGCACAGTGGCACAATCATGGCTTACTGCAGTCTCAACCTCCTGGGCTCAAGCAATTCTTCTGTCTCAGCCTCCTGAGTAACTGGGACTATAGGCACATGCCACCATGCCCCACTAATTTTTTGATTTTTTTGGTTTGTTTTGTAGAGACAATGTCTCACTACATTGCCTAGGCTGGTCTTGAACTCCTGGGCTCAAGCAATCTTCCCACCTTGGCCTCCCAAAGTGTTGGGATTACAGGCATGAGCCAATGGTAGTACCTGGCTGAATTAAGTAATTTATTATTGTGCTTTATAAGTCTGTATATTAAATGTTATGGTTATATCACATTATTTGTTTTTTGTTTTTTTGTTTTTTTTGAGTTGGAGTCTCACTCTGTTGCCCAGACTAGAATGCAGTGGCCGC